CCAGGAAAAAGGCTCTGCCCTTGGCCACGGGAATACAACAGGGAGCTACAACGGAGGCCTGAATTGGTGTCCCATAAAACATAACAGGATCCCACCGTTTCCCAGAAATAGGGTCTGACTACATTGGGTTTGGTGGAGGCAGACTGCCGCTTCCAAGCCTCTCTCTGCAGTAATCAGATCTTGTCCAATGATTCATATGGAAATTAAAGCCCACTTTGAATTAATGTCCCGTAAGAGCCAAGGTGGCGCAGTGGTTAAATGCAGCACTGCAGGCTACTTCAGCTGACTGTTATCTACAGTTCAGCGGTTCAAATCTCACCGGCTCAAGGTTGACTCAGCCCTCCATCCTTCTGAGGTGGGTAAAATGAGGACCCCGATTGTTGGGGGCAATACGCTGACTCTGTAAACCGCTTAGAGAGGGCTGAAAGCCCTATGAAGCGCTATATAAGTCTAACTGCTACTGCTACTACTACTACTAACGTTAAGGCAGGCAAGGGTCGGCTCTAACGTCCTCCCTCCTGTCACCAAAGGAAAGGAAGTTTCTGGTTCTCATTGAGGATCTTTAGTTGAAATAATTGGGAAGAGGGAACGCGCCGGATTTCATCCCAGAGCTGCCCTCCGAGAAAGACACAGTAGGTTGCATCGAAAGAGCACCAGGAGCGGAACCTGAGCGGGTTACGGGGCGCCGCATCTTTCGTGGCTTGCTTGGCCACCAAGGTCGGCTTGGCGGTAGCCGGCGGGAGTGCGGCAACCCCGCCCGCGGCGCCAAGAGCTGGGAGCCGAGGAGGGGCAAGGCAGGGCCGCCCTCGCCTCTCTTTCTCCACCTCCTCGCGGGCCGCTTTGCAGCTCCTTGCAGCCTCCACGCCGCGCTGGTTGGCGGAGAGCCAGAAAGGGCGCAGTGTGTGGCTCCCTCCAACTCGGGCCCCGGAGCCCTTGGCAACACCCGAGGAAAGGCGAGCGTGAGACAGGCGAGGTGCCCCGGAGAGCCGGCCGATCGTCCCCGCCAGCCGCCGCTGGGAGGCAAGGCGACCGATCCGCGCAGCCCACCTGGGCAGCCCCGCCCTGCGCTCCAGCCTCTGCGGCCGGCCCCACTCCTGCCGGGGCCTTGCAGAGCGCGGGCTGCGCGGGGGAAGCTCCCCTTGGCTGCGGGAGACGCGGCGAATCGATGGGGTGAGCCATCCTTGGCGCCGCCGGGAAACGATGGACGATTCCGGGATCATTCGCCGGCGGAGGCTCCAGGTAAAGAGCGCTCGGCGGATCCCGCGCTTAGCCTGCCTGCTTCCCCGCTATCAGGGCCCCCCAGCCCAAGAAATCCTCTCCCCACCGGCCGAGGTCGCATGAATGCCGGCGCCGCCACTGCGCCCTGGCTAGAGAGGATTAGAGAGGGCAGAGCAGCGGCGACATCTCTCCTCCGCCTCTGCCTTCCTCCGCCATCCCAGAGGGAACCTCCGGGCGGAGAGGAGATCATGACTTCATCTTTCTGCAGGGCACAGGTGTGTGTGGGGGGGCAACCCGTCGGCAGGCGGCTCACCTGCCGGGACGGGAAGGCTGGAGCCGAGGGGGTCGCCTGCTTGAGCTCCAGACCCAAACAAACGAAACATTGTGCTGACGCAGGGAGAGAAAACCGGGGGGGTAGAAGGCGGG